TTTCGAGTTTCACCTGTATATGGTTTTCCAAACTGTATGCATTCCATGAGAAAGCATTCATTAAAATCCAGAATTAGAAGTGCAATGCTACCTGCTCTCTCTTAACTTAAAAAGAAAAACCCACATAGTTGTGTACATGCAATATTTCAAGTATAAGGGATGAATGCAGTTGAGATTTCTTTTGTCCAACTTCTACATAGTTTGCACTTTTTTGCTTCTTCTGGGGGAAGAAAACGTTCTAAAACCTTACAGGTGTTCCTTTGAAAAATGTGGACCTCTGCAGGTACCACGAACATATTATTATTTCCCTTCAAAGTCCTTATTTCTGGCTTGTTTCTTTCTAATGTCTTTTGATCACACTGGGAAAAATAATGTTTTTAAAAAAAAAAAAACATGTCTGCTGGGCTTTACAGTTAATATTACAGCCAGTGGGCAATGGGCCACATGATAGCCTTTGTTGTAATTAGTCTTTGGGAACATTCGGTCATCGGCTCAAGTCAACCGGTTCCATTAGCTTCTTACTTCATGAACCAGTGGAGGTTGACTTCAATTGCCATGAGAGGTTTTGGTGTTTAAAGATAAATTATTTGAGTATTTTGATCATCTTCAAATGCAGGTGAAACATGTCAGTCAATTCTAGACTTGGGAAAACATACTTTCTTTCTTTTTTTTTTTAAAGGAGAAAGTAGGTTAAGAGGGTGATTACTAAATTCCTGTCAGGCAATATAACCTTTTCAAGTTCAGAAGATACCTTTAAAGTAGAGTTGAATTGTCCAAACTGGATGCCTTCTTTCTTCATTGAGATCACTTGTATTTTCTTTCATTTTGTTCTTATAATTTAAAAGTTTAAAAGTCACAAAGACCTTTGAGACTGTACAAGAAATACGGAATGCACTGTAAATCACAAGGATTAAATACTGTGTGTGTGAAATATTCTCCTCTTGAAATTCCAACTTTGAAGTAGCTACAGGTAGTCCTCGGCTTACAACAGTTCATTTAGTGACTGTTCAAAGTTACCACAGCACTGAAAAATGTGACTTATGACTGTTTTTCAGTTACAATTTTTATTTATTTATTTATTTATTTTAATTTGATTTATATGCCGCCCTTCTCCGGAGATTCAGGGCGGCTTACAATGCGTTAAGCAATAGCCTTCATACTTTTGTATATTTATACAAAGTCAGCTTATTGCCCCCACAAACTGGGTCCTCATTTAACCTACCTTAGAAAGGATGGAAGGCTGAGTCAACCTTGAGCCTGGTAAGATTCGAACCTGCAGAAATTGCAGGCAGCTGTGTTAATAACAGGGTGCATTAAACCACTGTACTACCAAGGCTCCTTTTTGCAGCATCCCCATGATCATGGGATCAAAATTCAGATGCTTGGTAACTAGATTCTATTTATGACTGTTGCTAGGTGCTAAGGTCATGTGCTCACCATTTGCAACCTTCTCACAAGCGAAGTCAACGGAGAAACCAGATTAATTTAACAACCATGTTACTAAACCTATCAACTGTAGTGATTCACTTAACAACTGTGGCAAGAAATGGCGTAAAATGGGCAAAACTCATCTAACAACAGAAATGGGCTCAGTTGTGGCTGTAAACAGGGGTAGGTTCTACTTACCTCCACTACTGTTTCACAATGGGAGTTCACATGCACACACGCTTCTGTGCATGCGCAGATCATTCATGATGACATCGGGGGGTGGGCGGAGCCTCCCATCGCTGTTACTACTGGTTCGCAAGAACCGGACCAAACCAGGAGCAATCCCCCACTGGTTGTAAATCAAGGACTACCTATATTTACAGATGGGAAGCTTGAGGGAAAAAAGACAATGTATTATGAAAGTTTGGGTTTGAGGTAGGAACAAATATGTAATTCCTCATCTCACACATATTTTGAACTTAACACTGATTACAAGCAGCATCGTTTCAAGTGTTCCAACTTTGAGGAATACTATGATTGGACTATTGCTGTGTGGTTTGCTTTTGCGCTAGTTTTTTCCTTTTTTAAAAAAATGTAAACAAAACAGCAGGAATCATTTGATGTCTCTGCAACTATTAATTTAGACTAGATGAGGTGATGTGGAACTCAAGGATTGAGAGAAGAGTAGCATTAAAATCTATGATAAAACAGATGGAGTTAAAGATGGCTCAAAGCCACATGCCTGGTCATCTGGCTAATACATCCCTGCTGGTTGTTGTTGTTTGTTGGTTTGTTTGTTTTCAATCAATCAATCAGAATAGAGCTGGAAAGGACATTGGAGGTCTTCTAATCCAACCCTCTGCTCAAGAATGAGACTCTATGATAGGTGTCTGCCCAGTCTTTTCATAAAAACTTCCAGTGATGAAGCACACAACTTCTGAAGCCAAGATGTTCCACTGGTTAATTGTCTTCACACTGTTAGGACATTTCTCCTTAATTCCAGGTTGCATCCAGCCTTGATTAGTTTCCATCAATTATTTCTTGTCTTGACTTCTGGTGCTTTGAAAAATAAGCTGACCCCCTCTTCTTTGTGGCAGCCCCTCAAATACTGGAATACTGCTATCACATCATCCCTAATCTATCTTTTCTCTAGACTGGCCATACCCAATTCTTGCAACCGTTCTTCATATGTTTTTGTCTCCAGGCCCTTAATCAACTTAGTTGCTCTTCTTTGCACTTTTTCCAACATCTCAACATCTTTTTGGTAATATGCTGACCAAAACTAGATTCAGTATTCCAGGTGTGGCCTTACTAAGTCTTTATAAAATGGTACTAATACTTCACGTGATTTTGTTTCTATGCCTCTGTTTATACAACCAAGGATTGCATTAGTTTTTTTAGCTGCTGCTGCATACTGCTGGCTCATGTTTAAGTGATCATCTACTTGGACTTTTTTATTGCTATGGTAGGTTAGTGATGTCTGTAGATTTTACATATATTTTATGATGTGTTTTCTGTTTGAAGTCAGATAATATAAAGAATAGGTGTACACATGCATTACTACATTTCCCAGTCATGAGGTTATATAAATACGAAGGTAAATAGATGCAAAAAATGTAATGTTGATTTGATTGGTTTGTTGATGATTTGTTTGTGTGAGTTTGTGTTTACTCTTATAAAGTACTAATACAACTCTATAAAGACTTAGTAAGACCACACCTAGAATACTGCATCCAGTTTTGGTCACCACACTATAAAAAAGATGTTGAGACTCTAGAAAGAGTGCAAAGAAGAGCAACCAAGATAAGTAGCAGACTGGAGGCTAAAGCATATGAAGAATAGTTGCAGGAACGGGGCATGGCTAGTCTAGTAAACTGAAGGACTAGGGGAGACATGATAGAAGTCTTCCAATATTGAGGGGCTGCCACGGAGAGGAGAGGGTCAAGTCAATGTATTTTCCAAAGCATTGAAGGAGAAATTCAACCTGGAAATATGAAAAAATTTTCTGACAGTGAGACCAATGGGACAGCTTGCCTTCAGAAGTTGTGGGAGCTTCATCACTGGAAGCTTTCAAGAAGAGACAGGACAGGACAGGAATGGTGTAGGATCTCCTGCTTGGGCAGAAATTTGGACTAGACAACCTATAAGGTCCCTTCCAACTCTATTAATCTGTTAAAGGTGCCTGTTGATCTTTGAGAAATAATTGAAAATATACTAGCTTTGATTGATTCCTGACTTTAGGCATGCACTTTACACTTAATGTTATTATAGTATATTAATCCCTCTCATGAAGGTTAGAAGCACAGTAGTTTGGGGTTTTTTTTACAGGCAGAAGTCATCTCTGTATGCAAGATTGTTTTTGATGGGGTCTTGCCAAGTAGATAGGAAAAAAAGGAGGGGGAACACATGTTGAATTGTTGTTTGAAACGGCTAGAAAGTGAGCACAGTACAGTGCCAACAGAAAAATTCAATAAGAGGTTTTTGGGTTTTTTTTAAAGGAAAACATTAAAACATTATGTCTACCTACATCTCTTGTTTATCTACAGGTTGGGAGAGGTGTTAAATGAAAGGAATTTTAAGGTACTTATCTTTTTGCCCTGTTAATATGTTGTCTCAGTGCCTCGGGGTTATTTAAAAATGGAAAAGGTTGTGCTGAAGTTAAGGAGAGTTCCAATAATTGATTCTAATAAAAACTAACAGATTTTTCAGCTAGTGAGAGATAAACAATACTACTATTGCTTCCTAAGGGGGATTTATTTTATTATTTTCTAACTGTTTTAAAAATTACTCCTTTGATGGAGGGACCAACCATATGGATTGCAATTCCATCTATTTTTATGCTCCTTCAGTACCAAACCTGGTACTGAATTTGTTCCAAGATGGCATTCTTTTATTTGACCAGAATACTAAAATGTTTTCGCTTTGTTCCATTTAAATGAAGAATACTTCGGTTGTTCTAATCATTTCAAAATTTTTCCTATCAATACACCACATTATAGGAAAACAGCGTATGTTAAAAGAAACTAAAGTAGATACACATTCTGTTTTACTGAAAAGGTTATTCATTTTTTTGCACAGCACCAAGGCTAATGATGCTAAAGGATACTTTTCCAAATGTTTGTGCTGCATGTTATTTCATAGAATAACAGCTTCCTTCTAATCAATGAACTTTTTTTTTTTTTTTTTTTTTACCATCTGCTGAATGAAGAAAATTTGAAAGTGGAATTTAGTTCTAAATTAATAAACCACTCTGAGAAACACAGCTCTCTAATTTCCAGGGATAGAAGAATATGCTTGACCTTTGGCATAAAAAGTGTAATACGATGAGAATATATATTTTTTTCTCTTCCATTCAGTCATGTCTGATACTTGGAGACTGCCTGCACAAGTCCCTGAAGTTTTCTTGGCAAGGTTTTTCAATTTTTTACTTTGTAAATTGTAGAAACTGGGATCATTTGTAAATTGCTCAATTTATAGAGAAAGGAAAGGAACCTTTGAAGTTCTAAATCTGGAAATTATATTGTCCATTTTGTAGATATTTATTCTAATTAATTTTATGAGTTAAAGCTCACCTGGGGATTTAATGGCCTGCAGGCGACATCTGGCCCATTGGCTGTTCCAGTCCTGCCACTGTCAGAGAAGGGCAGGAAGTCATCAGTAGCCGGGAGCAGGGCATCAGTGGTGGGGGGCAGGGTGGCATCAATGGGAGTAGGGAATGTATGTGGGCAGCAGCAGGGGGCCAGGGCAGTAGCCCTCCACAACAGTCCCAGTGTTATGATGACCTTGGTTCTGCAACCTAATAAGACAGACACAGACTTCAGAATTAGAACTGCGGAAAAAACAATTGCTACCACCCTGCCTTCCACTGAGGACCTGTATACTGCACAAATCAAAAAGAGGGCTGTGAAAATATTTACAGACCCCTCACATCCTGGACATAAACTGTTTCAATTCCTATCCTCAAAACGACGCTATAGAGCACTGCACACCAGAACAACTAGACACAAGAACAGTTTTTTCCCGAATGCCATCACTCTGCTAAACAATTCCCTCAACATTATCAAACTAGTTATTAAGTCTGCATTACTATTAATCTTTTCATCCATCTCCTTCCATTTATGACTGTATGACTTGTAACCTTACGATTTATATTGTTTCCTAATATGATTTGATTGCTTATTTGTTCCCTATGACTATCATTAAGTATTGTACCTTATGATTCTTGATGAACGTATTTTTTATTTTATGTACACTGAGAGCATATGCACCAAGACAAATTCCTTGTGTGTCCAATCACACTTGGCCAATAAAAAATTATATTCTGTTCTGTTCTGTTCTGCTCTATTCTATTCTATTCTATTCTATTCTATTCTATTCTATTCTATTCTATTCTATCCTATCCTATCCTATCCTATCCTATCCTATCCTATCCTATTTCTATGACCTTGGTTCCCACAGGAATACTTTTTCTTTTTGTTACAAGCTACTTCCCCCCCTCCCCTTCTCTCTCAGGCTTTGTGGCAACTGTGAGGCAGGACAAGATGGCTTCAGCCAGGTTCCTTTCAGAGTTGACACCCAGTTTGTCATGTGGCCTCTTGGAAAAATTAATTGCCCACCCCTCCATTAAAGAATTGTCAGATTTACTTTTACAAAGAAATTCCATCTCCCCATCCTTTAGATAACCTTGAATTATTAATTTAGGGAAGATCATTGAATAAGTAATTTGACCACTATTTGATTAAAATGATTTTTTTGCTAAGATTAAATATTTAAAATGATAGCAGCTTTTATTGAGAATAAGGTCTGAAATGAGATCTGTGGGCAAGAAATTAATTATATACAGTCTAATAAATGGCCAAGGACTCAGTTTAAGGATTCAAAAGAACAAGGTGGCTGAGCAGTTCTGAATTTCAGATTATACTCATGTGCCAACATGGATTTCAGAATGGTTTGTATTTCTTATGGTTCCATCACCTCAATGGAAGTGGCAAGATTTCCAGAGGGTTCCATAGGTGTTCCATTACCATATTCTCAGCAACTCTAATATGGCTTTCTTCACTGCAAAGATACAGTGGGGAATAATCTTAGTCTTACTTTCAAGGAAATATTAGAGTTTCCTCAAAACAAAGCTTTCTGTGTGAACACTTAAGATACTGATGTACAAATGGTGTCTTCAAGAGGACTCTTTCTTTGCCCTCAGAATTAAACTCTTTGTTGTTTCTCTACAAACATTCCCTCATTGAAGTTATCCCTGCAAGGTATATGTATGTGTAGATCCTATTCCTGCTACTGGAGCACAATTACCAGAATTCTTAGTCAACATGGAAAAGATTTATAAGGGAAATGCAGTCATTGGTGATTATGTGGATTTATTTTTAACTTGTTGGAATAATGCTATCTTTCTTGCCTTAGAAATTACATGCTTGCAAGTAGTATTGAGATCTATTGTTTTTCTGCTTGGATACCTCCGTTTAGTGTGATTCATCAGGCTTTGTTGAGCAAGATATGTGCTGTAAAGGCTTGTTTGAACTACAAGTTTCCTCTCCTGATTCTTTTTGCTTTGATTGCTAAAACGGCAAGATGTCTCAAAAGGATAGGCCACCTAAGGACTTGTCTCAGTGGGTAGGGTCTGTTGGGGGCAAATAATCTTTGGTTGGAGACAGAGAAGTAAGGAGAAAATGAAAAAAAAATAGAGGACAGTCATTGGAAAAATAAACATGGTAAAACAAAAGACATTCCTGCAATGCAGTATTGAAGTATAAATCCTGGTGCAGAACTCAGATGCTGACACTGACTTTCAAGAAAGGGCTCCAGTAAAACCCGTAGAATGTCAGCCTTGGGGGACAAAAAACCAAGAATCACCTGAGGCTAATCAAACACTGGCATTACCTGAGGAACTGGATGTCAGATGGTAGTAATGTTAGGTCTCCCAGTTTCCATCCCCAGCAACTAGAACAAAGAGCAAAGACTTTGTATGAGGCTCCTTGCCAAGCAAGGGAATAAATCCCTCAATCAAAGACAGTTGGCTGCAGTCTGATTGAAGAGGGAATCATGATCCATGATTCTTCCTTGGAATCAACTGTCTGATATCCAGCATTTGTGGCTGACAATTCTGACATGGCTCTTGAAACGTGATTGAGAGCTTGAGTCTTCTTCTGCATGGTCCTGTTAAAAGCAGAACCATTCAGGGAAGCTTTCTCTTTTTTAGAGACTCTGTTTTGATTTGTATTCCTTGCCTGCTGTTATTTCATCAATCTTCAGTAAACTGCTAGTTTCCATAGCAACTACTTATGAGACCATAAATAGATGTCATATCGGGATGATACAGGGATAACTAAATTACAATGACTCATTTGTTTTTTAATGAGCAAATTTTCCAAGATAGACTAAATATGGTAGTATCTCAATGAAGGATATGGGTAAGAGATGACCAGACTGAGCCCAAGGGATGAGTCAAATACATCATCAGTCTTGAGTCCCTTCGCTCCCACAATTCTGTTGATTTTTATCTACTGCCAATTTGTTTTGACCATTAGTAGTTCAGATTCTTGTAGATAGCATAAGCTTGCAATAAACCTTTATATCCATTTGAACTGCCTAGACTTCCTGATTTTCCCATGCTTGGCAATATGTTTATTATGAGATAAAGTATCTCAGATTACATCTGGCCCTCATTTTCTTTAAGATCCACATTTTTAATTAAAGATCATTAAATTTCTGTCAGATCTCTCTTTTGCCTAAGATAAAACAGTATGATAGCATCACAATTCCAGTAATACATGGAAGGATTTATGTATCATTCTTGGAATCTAATGGCTAAGCAAAGTTGTTACATCTGTAATTGAATTCACACTTGTTCAAACTAAATGTGAAATATTGAACCAAACTTATTCCTTTTGAGGTTAATTTTCTGGAGAGTAATATTCAGAATGACACTCTCTGGAATCTTATTTGGGATTTTGAATTAAAAATGGCAGCCTTTTTAGTCATATTTTTTTTCAGGAATTTTTGAGAGAAAGTAATTGCAATTACTAGCCAGAGTTCTGAAGGGGAGAAACAATTGATGAATTGTCAATCACAAATGAAGAATGACAGTTAAGGAAAGGCTGATCCAGAGACAGAATCATAGCCAAGAAGAAACAAAGGCAATAAACTGTGGTTAATGTCTATGGAGATCCTCAGTCATTCAGGTCATGATTATCCCAAAGGTGCTTTTTCAAAAGGCAATTGGACTTTCTTTGTTTTGCTTCAAGACATTTCACTTCTCATCCAAGAAGCTTCTTCAGTATGTCAGAGCTGGAAAAGCTTCTTGGATGAGAAGTGAAACATCTTCAAGCAAAACAAAGAAAGTCCAGCTGCCTTTTGAAAAAACACCTTTGCAACAAACTATGATTAAGTTGCAATCAAGAAGAATGTGTGCTGGAAAATATTAAGTTTAAGACTAGGGTGACATTTTGGTTCTTTTCAAGCTGACCTAAAGCCATGCCACTTTGTCTCTCAATTTGTTCCCTTTCCCATTTCTATTTTTAGTACTGGATTCTGGGTATGGCTTTAATTTTTGCTAGATTATCTGTTAGAAATAAATCACAAATCGAATGTACCCCATTAAGAAGAAGTGCTTGACACAGTGAACGGCAATAGCAAAGGCTAAAGATATAACAGAATTTAAGTAGTGTTGATGGATACTGGAGAGTTAATGTCTAGCATTGTTTCCTGGCTGAACCAAAGTGATCTGATCAATCAATTAATCAACAATAGTGCTTTCTGTTTCCAGTAATTTCGTGATTATACATTTCTACCAGTGGTGAAATCCACTTACCTTCTCTACCGATTCGGGAACAGGAGTGCGCGGGAGCACACGCACACTATGCATGCGCCTCTTCTGCAAATGCGCAGATGATAAAAAACCGGGACGTAATGACATCCCAAAGGGTGGGCGGAGCCTCCCGCTGCCAGTGCTACCGGTTCGATGAGCCAGATAGAATCGGGGGGATTTCACCGCTGATTTCTACCCTTTGATGAATGCAGAACTACCAATAAAAGGAGCTCCTTGTGAAAGTAGGCTCAGTTCTTGCTTTAAGCCTCCTTTGTGAGAAATGTCATGTTGTGTAATTTTAAATGCCACTATTTTTCTATGGTTCTACATTTTAATAAAAACTACACTGACACCTGCATGAGATCAAGAAATAAATTATATGGAAGAATAAAACTATTTTTACTAACGTGGACTACGGTTACAAGTAGGATTGTGCTTTTTCTCCTCTCCCTCTTGTACTAAAGTCAATGAACAGATGGGGATCTGAGATGTTCATGCATATATCTGTTCTGCATGGTTTGGGCTTAAGCCATGCTTTTCTCCTTGTTGTTTTGATAATGAAGCTCTCCCGTCTCCAAAGGTTAGAAGGGACATTTGAGGTTTTCTAGTCCAACTCTTTGCTCAGTGCAAGAATCCTCATAACATTCTGCAAAAATACCTATTGTATATGACATTGCTTATCATCTAATAAAAATGTTCTCAGGAAGATATGGGTCTCAATAGGCACATATGACTATAAAATATAAGATGTTATATGCTTTAAGTCTACTGTTCCATTGTTTTTTATACACTGATTGGAAAGTCTTGGCTAGGCAAAGCCAATACAGAATGAACTCATCGCTATTCAAAGAAAAGATCAGGCATTTCCACTGACTGGGACGTAGAAGCTTTGTGGAAAATTTACAATCTTGTTTGAGGCTCTGCAGATCTAAGAAGCAGATTAGGCTTTCCTGACAAATTGCTATCTCTGTTTTGAAATCCAATTGTTTTCATTAAAATTCTAGCTGGTGTCAAGACTCTTTAGAATTTTAAAAGAAAAAGAAATATTTTCCAAATATTGAACTTAGGTAGTTCAAAGCAAGGAAAGCATTTTACGCAATGTATTTTGCAGACGGAAAATATCAATATTTGTTTTCATTTAGGCAGATCAATAGATAATGTTATCTGTTTGTATATATGGATATAAATATGCTATATTTCATCAACTTTTGCAATTAAAGCTTGGTCAAAACTAGTAACTAAGAGTGTGGACAGAAAGGGGAATAAAAGACAATAATAAAATCCCTCATGGCATCTGACTTCTGTCAGAAACAAATTATTTGTTGAATATTCCATCACAGACAATTGTGATACTTTTGACTCATGTTATTAAAGTTTATGACTCTTCTTGATTTTAAATCTAGGCTAGTATCATAGAGCCAATTGACTGTGGGTTCTATTTATCCCATTTAAATCTTTCTCTTGTTGTGACCCCCTTTTTTAGAAGATGGATAGTTTTTCTAAAACAGGAAGGGAATTATTTTCTTTCCATTAACTGTTTGCTTCCATTGCTGCTAACCTCTTTATTTTATTTATTTATTTGTTAAATTTATATATCACCCATCTTAGGGTCCAAGGCAACCTAATTATCAGTTCTCCATTTTATGGGCATTTGAAATTGACATTTTGCAACATTGTTCCACCGTTAATTATAAATAATATATTTTTAAAGATGAAAACAATCCCAGATAATTTGGATTGCTTTAGTTTATGTTATTGTAATAGAAAGCAACAGGGGATAACTTGCATTTCTAACAAAGTTTCAGTTCATTGGCATCCAGAATAATTGGATAAAATTTAAAAAAAAACATTCTTAAGTGTGAGATTTCTGGGGAAGAAATGGCAAACTGAGGATGGCTCCACTAAAACCAGCCACCCACTGCATGAGAATGAAGAGCTATTGTATGCACAAAAATGGAAGGACACTTCGATTCCTACCATGGATGAATGGTTGCAGAAGTTGATGGAGTTGGATAAAATGGCAATATTGACTACTTTGATTAAAGAAAAGAACATAAGTACTTTTGTTTCCAGATGGACACTCTGACTTTGGGTTTTACAGGTTAGACTGACAGATCTTTATAGAAATGACATGTTCATACTATTATGGAAAAGCAAAAAGTTGTGATTTAAGGTTAATGCCTTATTTTACTGTGACAGAGAAAGTTGGAAGTCAAAGCTTCTTGTTCTTTCCCTATCTTTCCTCACTTCTCTTCCCACTTCACCCCCTCCCCCCATTGCTTTTCTATTTACTTTTGTATTTTACAATATTTTATAACTCAATAAAAATGTTAAACTCGGAGAATGAAGAGCAATTGAGTAGACAGGAGAGGACCTGAGATTATCCACAATTGTTTCAGAGAATTGCTCCCCATGAAGAAACCACGAGATGGTTGACTGGCAGTTTCAGACTTCTAGGAGTCAAGGGAATAACCATCTTACTCAACTCACAATCGTCACCTTCCAAAAGGCACCGGAATCACATATGGTGCTTTCTTTTTTAATCACTTTTGGAAATTGCTTCATAACTGTTTTTCAGCTATTAGGAATCTTTGGATGGACATGTTTTATAGCACTTGGTGAGTTTCCCTTCAATCCTTAGTGAAATAAGTTTTAAATACAAGTTTAAGGATCTTTTAAAAATCTGGAATAAACAGCAAAAGAATGATTACAACTTTGATTTTGGATGGGCTAAGGACCTAGATAAATTTGTTTTAAAAAATGGAATTAATTATAGGAAACATTCCTGTGGAAACATGCTTTTATTTTGAATTCTTTTTTTTTTTAAATGCTAGGATAGGACTTTGAAGGTTGGACACTAGAGGGAACTAGAAGAAACTCAAGGTTAGATGGATGCTTAAATCCATTCAGCAATACAGAATGGAGCAGATTATTTTAACTTTGGACATATTGAAGGACATTTTTGAACAATGGACCCAGAAGCTAATTTTAAAAGTGCCCATCTGTATAGATAAACTGTGCTTAAAAGAGTTTATGGAAGAGAAACAAGTTTTATTGTCAAAAATGAGACTGATCTGAAAGTGGATTTAAAAATGACAAGCTAAAAGAATGATATGGACTCACAAAAGAAACTGGCTGATGTCTTAATAATTAAAAGGCATATACAAATAACAAACTAAGAGAGTGGCCTGAATAATTTACTAAATTGGATTTACAAAAGATGCTTGTTAAAGCTTTGAATTTGGCTGCAGGCTCTCCTACTTACAAAAAAAAAATATTCTGAATGTCCATTTGTCCAACATTACAGACTAAAAGTTTTTAAAGCCATAGAAATTCTAAAAAAGAAAAAAGAAACTGTTCTCTTCAGAAAGCTTGGTGTTGCTGTGCATTTCACCAGTTTTAAAGTATTAAAATGATTTGGAAGTCTTTTGACATCCCATTTTCCAAATAACTTCATGTAACCCCTGTCCACTTTCCCCACGTTTTTCCCCATACAAAAGAACAGACAGAAGATGAAATTTGTTCCTGCTGGTATCCTTCGATTTTGGCATCAGCTGGAAACAAAGCATAAAATATTCTCCCAGCATGATTCTAGGCAGATTGCATTTTAACCTCTACATGTACAAGGGTTATCCTTAGTAAGATGTGGCTTGGAAAACCTTATGTCTCTGTGTTGTTATCAGTCATAGGCAACATGTGCTCCTCTCATTGCTGAATCCCCATCAGCCTCAAGATAGTATATTGACTTTATTGAATACACATAGTTATTACAGAGTTGATATCAAGCTGACATAGAATGGTGCTTTGAACAAGCAATATCAACTAATGGGTAATCCTGGGCAGTAATCTTGGCAACTGAATTCTCCTTATATTTCATTCATACTAGCCCAATTACACTATAAATTCTGCTGTGCTACTGTATTTCGCATTGATTAGGGTTCAATAATTTATTTCATCAAATAATTCAACACACACACGCACAAGAGAGAGATACATAGATATACAGAGAAAGAGAGAGAGATGAGAGGGGAGAAGAGAGGTAATCTAGCATTGCACTGTATTTGCTACCTTCAACGATACTGTGGAAAGTGTAAGTAGATATTTAACAACACTTGGCTTGACAGTTGACCAAGTATTATGTCAATAATATGACAGGAATATAGTGTTATCTATATGCCCTTGTATATGCCTGAGCCATGTCTTGAGTGTTTTAACAATGACAGGGCTTCTCTTTTCAATTTAAATTAAATTGTCACGGTTGTCAACACAATGGAAAAGTGTCATAAGGCCTTCTTCAATGAGCAAAAGAAAGCAATATTTCATTCCCAATTAACAGTTGGATTTTTGTCAGGTGGATTTTATTCATTACAGGCTGGATCTGATTGATTCCGCCAATTGCTTTGCTTGATCATTTAAGAATGACATTCTTTCATCTGCTCAGCTAATAAAATATGAGAAAATATTTAGCTATTGTGCTTGCTTTTCAAAAAAAAAAAAAAAGGCAGGGCTGATTAGTACTTGAATCAGACACCACTAAAAATATTAGGACCTGAGATTTACTGGGAGACCTTGTAAAACAGGGGTGTCAAACCTGATTTCATTGAGGGCCGCATCAGGGTTGTGTTTGACCTTGGAGGGCCAGGGCGGGCGTGGCCAGGGTAGGCATGGCCAGTTCAACGTCATTCCTGTCAGGGGCACCTGTGGTGGCCCGAGCTCTCTGACTTGAAAATGGGCTCCTAAACTTTGTTTTTGGCTGCCACAGCCTCCTGCAACCCTCTGCCAGTGAAAACAGAGCTCTGGAGGACTGCATGTAAAACATCACTGAAAAAGGAAATGGCAAACCACTTTGGTACTCCTACCATGAAAATTGTATGTCCATTAGGAAATCAGTAGGAGGCATGCTGAATTTAAAGAAGACTTTATTGTTTGTTTGCCAATGCCATTCACTTTGATCAAAATGGCAGTTAATAGAAGCTAGTGTTTTTTTCCATTCTGGCTTTGCTTTGAAAATAGAAAAGGTGTCAAAATATCAGGCTGTTTGTGCAATTCCTTTTTCAAAAGACTAGAAATCTTCCCATTCTGAAGCATTGTGGTTTCAGATTTATTTAACTATATACAAAAAGGGAAACTGAGGTTAAAGATGATTTAGCTGTGATTGCTTTTTAAATTTTTGCTTCTTATCTAGCACAAAATATAATAATCTTCTTATACTTTCTGGTTCTTGCCGCTCCCAGTCATTTTTGGATCATTGGTTTTTCAACAACCTAGTCTTATAACAATATTTGGTAAGCGTAAGATATATAAAAGAAATGTTCTATAATACTATTTTTTCAATTTTTATTTATTTTTGTGCCTTCAGGCTAGTGTTGATTCCCAGCAATTCCATGCAGTTTTCTTGCCAATATTTTCAGAAGTGGGCAATATTTCCTATATTATAGCTCAGGAAGAAATAGAACTCATATTTTCCCGTTTTCTATCCTGGTGCCTTAACTACTCAACCAAACCAGGTCTCATTGTGTTGATTATTATATATCAGAAAGTGGTTCAATCAGAACATATAGACCAGTCAAAACTTTTTCAGACAGTGATGAGTTGTTAATGAAGCTACTTTGGTACTTTTTGTGAGAAACTAAGAGAATTGTAATTTTGAATTTGGGAATTTGATGCTTCGAATTATATGGGATTATGAAAGGAATGTAAACTATTCTTAATTTTAGAATTGTATGTATTTTTCATATATATCTGTATCAAAAAAAAAAAAGTAGAAAGCCATTCCTTTGTTTTTACCTTTTCTTTTCGTTTGCACTTTTCTTGAGCATTTTACCTTTCTTTTTTTTTCTTTTTTCTTTTTGCTTATTTACATTTTATTCATGTTTTCAAAATTTAGCAGAATATTTTCAAAAAAAATTTCAAATTCTCATATTCTAGGGAGGAAAAAACTTGTTATTCGTTTGGGAACCATAATGCCTGAATTGTAGTCACACAAAAGTCCAGGGCCCCTTAAATGAGAGCATGTATGCTTTCTAATAAATAAACCCACCACACATCAGGACTGGGTATCATTCCTTATTTAACCACCCTCCCCTCTTAACTGTCCCCTCCTCTCCCCTAGGCAAAAACTGATAACTCTTAAAATTGGAAATGCAAGGGGGAGAGGTTGGTACTTGGGTCTCTACCAGAGGTGGGATTCAGCCGGTTCTGACCAGTTCTACAGAACTAGTAGTAATGATTCTGCGCAGTTCAGAGACCCGGAAAATTGCACCACTGGCTGGCTCCACCAACCCTGCCCCTATATATCTTGCCTTTGCCATGTAGCCCAGCTAATCTCCGTGCCTTGCCTCTATGCCTTGCCCACTCTGCTCACCAAAAGTAAGCATGCCACCTGCTCGGCCTTTGCCTTGGATCGGGGCCTGGGGGTGCACCATTCCCCCCTCCGGCCTTGCCCCAGAGCCTCCGCCCACTTGCCCTTCACCTCGGCTGGGTCAGAGAATGCAGGAGGGGGCTGCATGGGCACAGGAGGGCTGAAGCAGTTTGGGAATGGACCAACCAGTTCTTCTTACCTGTAAGAAGTCCAATCCGGAAAGCACTACAGTGGAGATCTTGCAGCCGCTTCTTCCATCCCTTGCTGAGCCTTGGTCACTCATGGAGATGCTCCATGTACTCTCCAGTTCAGCAGCTGCTTCTCTCTGCTGCTGTCTTGCTGGGAGAGCGTCTTGTGCAAGTTAGTAGCTGTGAGCCGCCGCTTTCCTCTAAGTCCCATCCAGAAAGTGCTGCGGCTGAGAGAAACAGCATTCAACATGGCTGCTGCTTCTCTGTGCCACAGCGCTGTCCGGATGGGACTTAGAGGAAAGCAGCAGTTCACAGCTGCTAAATTGCACAAGGTGCTTTCCCAGAAGTACAGAGGGAAGCAGTCACTGCCCCAGAGAGCAGAGATGGAGGGGAGCAGGCCCCGAAAGGCTGCTCAGTCGAGCCTCACCGCATGGCAGAAGCTATGTGTGCACGCATATGTGGAAGCCATGCGCGCAGACTGACATTTTCGGTGAACCGGTGGTGAAATTATTTGAAACCCACCACTGATCTCTACAATCAAGAAACGAAAAAAGCTTGATTAAGAGCAAGCCAGGGAAAGTTTCATTACAGAAGTCTCTGGCACTTAAATGAAGTAAAGTTGATATCCATTTTTCATAGAGAATGGTCTTACAGAAGCATCCAGCTTTCTCTTCTTCCTGCTAATTCAGTGTCTGTTTCTCATTATTGGGTAGCCACTCATGTCATTTACTGAGTTTTGGTTAATCTCAGATGTGGTGGGTGCCTTTTAAAAGGATACTGAACAGATTTATGAAGGATTGGATTCTCGGTGATTAATTTGATGGCTCAGAACAGAAGCGGCATACCTTAAATCCCAGCTACTAGGGAGCAACAATCAAAGAAACTTACCAACCTCCTGTCTAAGTCTGTGAGCTTCCTGGATGCATCTGGGTTGTTAGCATGTGACACAGAACACTGAGCTAAACAGATCACTGGCTGAGCCTAGTAAGGCTCTTATGCTGTTAAATCCACCCTACTTCCTCTTATCCTAGTTGCCATTCTGTTAGAGAAAATTTATTTCCCTATAGCTGTGCCTATTAATAGCTTTTTGGAATGTACGGATACATAAGCCAATCAGAGGGCAGCTAATATGTTTGAATCTCCCGGGTCCTCCCCTAACTGTCACAGTTAGCAGTATAAAAGGAGATTCTTAACAGAAACCCCCGCTCTTCACCTTGCTCTTCAGTTTACTATTCAGTTTGATCTTCTGTCTAGTATTCTATTGTTTTCTAGGATCTTCCGTTAGATAACTGTGAGCAGTTTGGAAGTCCTTTAGAAGAGCAGTTCTTTGGTATACAATAATATTTCTTCTGAGGAAGAATAGTCATAGATAACATAGCTTAGAGAGAATAGATATATATAAAGATAGATAGCCGACAGGATAATTAATCATAGTAACTAAGTGCTGTTTATTAATTGAATATATTGTATATTGTTATGTTTTTATTATGTAAATAAAAACATCTACTGTTAACTGTTTCAGAGGCTCATTTGTTTAAGTAGAATTTCATAGAGATAAAGGTTCACATTTCATTGATTTAATAACCTCCACAACACATTCGTCTTTCATTGAAACGCAAGAAATAACCTAAAGTCACCAAGTATTTATTATTCTGAGCCCTTTTCCTGTAAATGACAAGCAGAGGAGAAATTCTGTGAATCATTAGCATGAAATTAAATCCATCTAGGCGATGAACTGTGACATGCAAAATCCAGTTATAGGCAGTTGTATAAAATGACCAATGTGATCTCTGATCCTTCTGTGCGCTGGACTTTTTCCTCTCTTTTTTTCTTGTTATTATCTTACTGAAGGGGACTGTCATTAATGAAGGAGAACTTTTGCTTATAATCAAGTCGTAAAAGTGATACCAGCTTTATAAAAATGGTACAGCTATGAGGTGGTTGTAGCTTATTAATTCTGCTTAACTGGACAAACAAGAACTGGAAATATCTATAGTAGTTTGTTACAATTGTACAATACTGGGTGTAAATAGTTTTCCTGGCTAATTGATCGATGCAAAACAATGCTTGCTCGCTAAAGCAATCTGGGCTGTGGGGACAATCTGACTTACCTGATAAATAATTTAGAACCTTCAATTACTTCAGGCTTGTTAGATTTTGCTAGCCAAGATTAAAACTGGAAGTAGAAGCCTACAGACATGGAAGGATAAATTTATTGAAAAGAAAAAAAAAAGAACCATACTCACAACTGTTACTAATGAATTCCAGCAACTGCTAAAATTACAAACCAGCCCTAGTTATAGTAAAATATAGGTTCAAAATCTTACACCTATTTCTCCTGTTTATTGTTATGATATCAGACCAATCTGGTTATTTAGTGTTTGTTTCTTCTCACCTTGAACGATTTCTCAGGAATGTTCTGTGACAGAGAACATAGTTGAAGTGTTTTCAAGTTAACCTCCAACCTTCATTGAAATAGAAAGTTCAGCACATGCCAAAAGATCACTCTTTCCTGGAAACTCTGTGACTTGGTTGGGGGAAAAGTCTTCTTGAATAAGTGTTTTGGTACTTCCATACTATTGTCTATAGGGAGTCTCAATCATCCAGGTCATGGTTGTCCCAAAGGTGCTTTTTTTCAAGAGGCAACTGGACTTTCTGGTTTTTCTTTGAAGATGTTTTGCTTCTCATTCAAGAAGCTTCTTCAGCTCAGAGCTCAGCGCTGAAGAAGCTTCTTGGATGAGAAGCAAAACATCTTCAAAGAAAAACCAGAAAGTCCAGTTGTCTCTTGAAAAAGCACTTTTGGGACAACCATGCTATTAACTTCCTAATATTAGCCACAATGACACCAAAATGATGGCACATGCATCATGGCATCAAGGTAGGTAAATTGAGGACCCAGTTTGTGGGGGCAATAAGCTGACTTTGTATAAAATATACAAAAAAAGGATGAAGGCTATTGCTGAGCACATTGTAAGCCGCCCTGAATCTCCGGAGAAGGGCGGCATATAAATCAAATTAAAAAAAAAAAAAATGCAAGCTGTGCCCTTTTGTATTTCTATTGCAACATTTCATTGCAAGTACTTAAATAAAAGACAGTTTTGATGCAACACGCATTTTATACCTTGGCTTCCCTGATCCCTGTTGATGAAGAAATGCTCCCGGGGTCTCCCAGACTGGACAGTCCAATGCAGATTCCAGTGCACATTGCATAATTGTTTCCCCCAAATATCTCCTCCATGACAGACCCCAACAAACTCCTTTCATAGTGCTGGGCTTTCCTAACCGCTTTCCAGCAACAGGAAAGGATGTTGTTTTCCTAGCCAGAGTAAATGAGTATATTTTAAAAACAAAATTGTTTTTAAATGGCATATATCCTCTGAGATAATCAAATCTCAATATTTTGGCATTCTTTCATGAGATCACATTAGCCTTTCAAAGTAAGGTCACCAAAGTTTCATAACTTTGGTCACAGTCTTATGAAGATTATTTAAAAAAAAATGAAACAAGTACATGTTCTCAGGAAGAAAATAAAATCTTGTCTTCATTATCAAGATTCTAATTCAATTGAGCTGTTTGTGTTGTATCAGTCTGGCTGACCGCATCTGATCATGGATGCTGCTATGGTCTCGTTAATTAAAATACCAGTTGTGTACACTAAACAAGTACCTTAAAAATAACTCAGAAAAGAACAAAGACAAATCACTTCCATACTGTTACCAATAAAACAACACACACAGATAGGATTGGATCTCATATTTAAGCTAGTGACATCCCCGACCATTTGTCCTTTTCAATAGTAGTCAAGAAACTATAATGTAAGACTGCAGAAGTTTGGTTTTGGTCTAGTGTTAAAAACACCAGGCTACAAACCAGGAGATTGTGAGTTCTAGTCCCACTTTAGGCATGAAAGCTTGCTGGGTGACTTTGGAAAAGTCAGTTTCAGCCCAACTCACCTCACAGAGGTTTGTTGTGGGCAAAATAAGAAGAGGGAGGTATATAAGGCATGTTAGCTTCCTTGAGTTATTATTTAAAATAATAAAGGTGAGATTTTAAAAAAAAATCTAAAAAAAATCATTGTCTGGAATAGAAGCCGTGTGAACCTGCTGGTGGTCATCTCTAAACTCAGTAGGAAATTGGATCATGACAGCGAATATAAGGTATTCTAGATGAGTATAATTCCTTTGAAATATAAGATGCCCAGCTTGAAGTTGCTATTTGATCTACAGCATGGCTGGCTGGAGAATTCTGGGACTTGAAGTCCACAAGCTTTTAAATTGCCAAGGTAGCGACCAGTGGTGGGATTCAGCCAGTTCGCACACTTTGGAAGAACCGGTTGTTAACTTTCTGAGCAGTTTGGTGAACTGGTTGTTGGAAGAAATCATTACGGCAGAGAACCGGTTGTTAAATTATTTGAATCCCACCACTGTTGGCAACCCCTGCCTTAGACCATATTGGTTGATGCACCATCCCTGGCTTTTCCTGGTAAAGTTACAGCTACACAATTGCATGCTTGGACAAACTTTTCCCTAGAGTAGGAAAGATATTTTGCACTCAGGCTGCTGATTATGAAAACCTAGACTAGTGTCCTCTTTATTATGCTTTAGACAGTGAGGTAAGTGTCACAAAAGTGTGCAATTCATTTTCAGTAAAGAAGTTACAATTGTAAGTTATTTTTCTCTTTTTAATTTAATTTTAGTTCTGTCCATTACCCAAGTGCACAAGGATCTAATTTATCAATAATGTTGTTATCAGCATTTATCTTGCATCAACGACCGATTCCTCATAAATCCATTAAAAAACGCTTCGGATAATTACTGTAACTCTTGAATGGCTCAGTATTCTTCATATTAGCAGAATCTGAGCAAATTGAAAATATTCTGTCTTTTGATTAAAATTTCCTTGCACGATTAGAATGTTTTTTGCAGCATTTTTGTTAAGAATTTAATCTTCCAAATGGAACAACAGTTTAATTCCCCCATTTAACTAGGAGTTTTAATAACAAAATCTTTGTTAACCATTATATGCAAGTATATTTAAGCAAGAATTTATTAAAAATAATTATGGAATAATATTTTTAGTACAAATGCGTTTTAAGAAGTCTAAACCTGACAGTGGAAATACTGTAGATAAAATTCTTGGAATATTTTCTTTTTATGAATGCTAAAATGAATGCTAAGGAAGCACTGAGTAGCAGAAAGGTAGTCCTCAACTTATGACCGCAGCTGAGCACTTTACAAGATGCTTGTAAAGTGAGTCATGCCTGATTTTGTGACTTTTTTCGCTGTGGTTGTTAAACAGGTCACTGCAGTTAAGTGAATCATACAGTCATTAAGCGAATCTGGCTTCCCCCATTGGCTTTGCTTTTTGGAAGCCATCTGGAAAGGTCTCAGACGGTGATCACATAACCCAGGATGCTACAATTACAGGTAGTCCTCAACTTATGACCATCATTGAGCCTTACATTTATGTTGCTAAGTGAGACATTTAAGTGTTAAGTGAGTTTTCTCCCATTTTACAACCTTTCTTTCCATAGTTGTTAAGTGAATCATCACAGCGGCTAAAGTAGTAACATGGTTGTTAAGTCAATCAATGGCTTCCCCATTGAGTTGGCTGATCAGAAGGTCGCAAAAGGGGATCCCATGACCCCAGGACATTATGATTCTCATAAATATGATCCAGTTGCCAAGCATCCAAATTTTGATCACGTGACTATGGGGATGCTGCAACAGTTATAAGTGTGAAAAACGGTCATAAGTCACTTTTTTCAGGGCCAATCACTAAACAAACTGTTGTAAGTTGAGGACTACCCATATTGTAAATATATGCCAGTTGCCAAGTGCCTGAATTTTGATCACGTGACTGTGGGCGACAAGTGTAAGTGTAAGGACTGGTTGTAAGACACGTTTTCAGTGCCGTCGTAACTGATCGAGCAGTCTCTAAACAAATGGTTGTAAGTCAAGCGCTACATGTTTGTTTTTATGCTCCTTCTTCAGTGGTG